AGAATCTCTCAGCCATTATATCTTCAGTGGGAGCCAGCAGAGTGTGGTGGCAGTAAACTGGGAACCACAAGACATTCCTGATCTGAACTGGGTTCACGGCTTTGTGTGACAGCTTGGCTTATGCCATCACACACACACACACATGCATACACACACATGCAAACATTCAGCCCCACCATGTCCCAAAAGAGCTAAATGTTTATCTGTTTTAAATTGATAGTTGGTTCAATGGTTCAAATGCAGAACATCAGTTCCAGTTTTGTACATGTGTTACTTTAATAGCGTTCTCCATCAGGGAATGCTGGAGAATTGTTTACGTTTATATAAACTGTCTACAATTTCTTAGGTAAATGTCTGCAGCCGTGCTCCGAGTCTTTTCCTGAGTTTGTTGACGAGTTGCTCTTCCTCACCAGTGCTCTTACCAAAGAATATGATTTTAAAGTCAGAACACAAGTGTTGTTTATCCACCCCGAGTTTATCATTCATTCTGTCACATATTTAGATTTATATTGGTGACACCAATGTCCAACATGAGGCAGTAATGAGCTGCTCCACTCACCCTGGAATTTTACAGATGCCGGTTTTCTCCGGTGCGAGGACGTGAGTGGTTCAGATCAAAGTCTGTTTTCCCCACTGATCTGTTAGCTTACATTCATAATCTGTGAGAATCTATTTTAGCAGCCAATAATGTTATTTTTCTTATTTAGTGCAGAAAAGGTAATGGTTGTGATGTACTGCTTTAAGGTTTTTCTTTCTTCCCCTCCTTCACTCCGTCGCTCAGTTCTAATCTGTTCCCTGGTCATAATATCTGCATCGCTATAATTTTCCAAAAATTCAGAAAAACATGACTTCATTGTAACATTAAAAACACAGTTCCCTCTGCTTCCCTCACTGCAAAAAGAAAATGACATGTTCTAACTTAATGAGTTACAAATGAATCATTTAAGATAAATTAAGGTTAAATTACTCAAACATGACAGGTGAGGCCGCGTTGGACCGACAGCGTCTGATCTCCGACAGCCGAAAATCTCTTGTTTTCTCCATGGTCCTTCGTGGCCTCAAATATAACATAGCTAACAATCATTTAAGCTACTCTGTCTTACTGTTAGAGCGCTTTTACAAGTGAAAATGGACCTTATAAACTGTTTACTCACATTAAAAAAATCAATCTTTAATTTCACAGGGTTATTTACCGACATTACCTTTTTGACTTCATCGTGTTGTCGTTTTTTTAGAATGGCCTTTTTACCCACATAAGGTCGTATTCCGTCTTTGCGTCCACAAAGACCCCACATACCAACGCTGGCTGTGCGGTTGGGTCCTCATTAGACTTTTGCAATCACCGTGAAATCAGTGTAGATAATGTGCCATTACCTCATACAAACACATGTCAAGAAAACACAGAACTATACCTTTAGACCCTTCTCCATCCTGGGAGTATTAAATTACCCCTCCCCTCAGCATGAACCTCAGCAGAGCACACATCATCTCTCCCATTGGCTTTAACAGGATGCGTTCGACACATTATTGTGCCCTTGACTGAACACATGAACAATGGAGGAAATATGAAAATAAATGGAGTGTTACCACAAGAGTCTCCTGATCAAGCAGCACCGCGTATCCACATGGCCACGGAAGAGAAATTCATTTACTTCTTCTGTTATCTTATACAAACAACTGAATGAAATGTAAGAAGAAAAAAAAAGAAAAAGAAAAGAAAAGCTCGACGTGAACTTTACATTCCTCTTACTCCCAATCCTCTACTTTCCTTCATCACTTTGATTTTTCTTTTTTTTTTTCTATCCCCAGATTTTTACCTTCAGCTGAGTTCCCAGACGTCTCCTGCAGCTGCAGCAGAGCCTTTACAGTTGATTCATATTGCTGCAGGCAGACAAGAGCTCAGATTTAGGATAAAGCAGGAGCTTTACACCGAGCAAATAGTAAATCAGTGTTTGTTCCAGTCGGGGATCGTGGACACAGAATGATGGAACACTGTGTGTGTGTGTGTGTGTGACTAGACACAGGTCAGGGCAGCCTTTTAATGTGGAGAGTCTCAGCGTGTGTGTATGTGTGTGTGTGTGTCAGTACGGTAACACTTCTTCTATTTAATTGTACAGTCGCATATTCAAATCTTAAACAAAGACTGTAGGAAACTCAGAGATTATTGTTGCTGTTGAAGATACTGCTTGTTCTTCCCGTCCTAAAACAAATGTAATGATGATTGAGCCACTTACGTCTGATGGTCCAATGTGTGGAAATAATTTCGATGTTCCAGATTTAGGGCCAAACAGAATGATCAGTTCGAGGACATTTTCTTATGAGTTCGTTTTCATTTCTTTCTAAAAGGATTTTGCCGCATTTCAGATTTCTTATGAGTTCGTTTTCATTTCCTTCTAAAAGGATTTTGCCGCATTTCAGAAATATGAAAAAAAGTTATATATTAAAATCACATGCGATAAACTCAGGTAAAAAGTTATTCATAACTATGTATTTCTGAAGATGTACAAATTTGTTAAAAAAACATTTATTTATAAACATTTTCATTCCAGAGCCATCAGCCATAGATACCAAAATACAGTAGCATCACAAGTCAAACCAAGGAAGCTGTTTTTCTTGGGTGCATTAAATTTGTTAGACTCATCAGATGCCACGCATTGTGTACAAACAATTAAAATAATTTATCACAGTGATGAAAATGTATAGACAGAAATGTCAGTGTGGATTCATAATTACCACTTGACTGACAAATCCACCTCCAACAACTTTTGTCCATCGTCTTCTGCTCAGCTCAGGTCCAGACCACCTCACCCTGATTCTCTGACTTCATCTCCCAACTGTTGATCCTTAATCTTTTCATGTCTAATCCTGTCTTATCAGTGTCACCTCCCACTCAGCCTCCTGTCTTTCACACTGTCCAACTGTCTCTAAACCGTACACCAGGGGTCACCAACTATATTGGTTGGAAGAATAGATTTCTTCTGGACAGACAGCTGGGGGGGGTGGACACTCAACTGAAATGAAATGATAAATATCACATTTTCTATTGATGTTTTTCTCTCTCTTTTTTGGAACAGATCGGACGATTCAGTGGACTGGATCAGGTCCCAGGGACGCTGGTTGATCATCACTGCCATACATCATAGCAGGTCTCACTACTGTCTCATAAACCTTCCCTTTTTCACACGTATTCTGTATTGCGCCTGCTGACCTTCCTTTTTACTCCAAGTCAAACCTCCACCTCTCCACCTGCTGTCTACTCTCACCAAAGACTACAAAGTCATCTGCAAACATTATAGTCCGTGGAGGCTCATTGAGTACCACTACTACAGTATAGAATACTTCCTCATAAAGTACCATTGCCACTGGAACTGTACCAGTTCAGTTGGTTTTATTCCTGTGAAAAATATCATTTGAAAAGACTTGTTTTTGCCCCAAAACCTGAGCCAAATGTTGTTTTACCTCAGATTAACCCTGACCTAAATGTATTTTACCCTGGATACACTTATTTATTTTTATCGATTCTTATAAAATATTATAATTTTAAATGTATAGTAATTAATTTATTGCGTTATAATATTTTTTTTTTAAATACGATAACCTGTATAATACAAAAACACCAACAATAATAAAAAAAATCTGAAAAATCTGGATTATCCAAGATCAAATGAAATCAGTAGTAAGTAAACAACTGAATGTAGGACAAATTTAGGAGTTAAAAACATTTATGTACATTTAACTCAAAGAATATGAACTTTTTTTCAAAGTAAAACTACGCCTGGATTGTTTCATTATAAGAAACTTATAATATATATTTAATATTCACATATTGATTTTAATTGTTTCAGGCAAAGAGATACTTTCATTATGGTTTCTGTCCTTTTTTCTCTTGCAGTTGCAAAAGAAAAAAGTCTAACATCACTGACGCCAGTGGTAGTTTTTATTTGTGTTTGTTTGTTTTACCGTCTCTTCGTGGGACTGACCACCTGTCAGTTCTTTGCTGCACGGATTCAATGAAAAAATAAAACTATAGGAACACTTGTCACTCCTGGTACAGCCAAGTTGATGGACTAAATGCTGAAAAGACCCAATTTCTTATTCAGTTATTCCATCTAGTGGTCAAAGATGGACTAGCAGCTGTAACGGTGTACAGGAAGTTGGCTGGTAAATGAAACGTTTTTTTGTTTTTTCTTGAACGTTTTTAATGATTTTCAAATGTTGTATTTTTTTAAAGCTGTTATATTAATGGTATATTCACTTCAATTTATTTTTAAAATATTTTATAGGAGTTTTACACATCAGAAGCAACAGCTTTATTGGTCATTGTACATAGTTCTGCTTTTTCCAGTACGTCTTAGTGATCTTCCAGGCTGTTTCTGGCTCCACATCACAGTAACATGTTTACATTGGGTTCATTTGTGGCAAGATGGCGGACAAGATGGCGCCGGTGTGTGTCCTGTCGTCTGTCATTGATGCTGTTCCGTGCATTTGTGCTGTTCTTTTTGATTGTTTCTCTTATTGCCTGCTGATGTACAGTCGTCAAGCACTGCTGGATCTTCAATCTCTAGTCGAAGATCTGTTAAATTTCATTCATGGTGGACGTAGAACTTTGCCCCTGTACCTGCTGAGCATCCTACACACCTCTGCCACAACCTGGCTCAAAGAGCTGAACGTAAAGGGGAAAGGACGAGCGACAGGTAAATCTAGCAGACAACTGTAAGAGATGCTAAAAGAGAGCACTGTATATCTTCTAGCTGTTTTACCCTGTTGTTTCTGGCGGTAAAGAGAGACACTACAGCCTCGGCAACAGCAGCACATGGTATACAAGAAGTTGTACTAGTTGTTAAAAGTTAAAAAGTTGTATGGAGCCACCCCTAAAAATATCAGACATGAATAAGTTCTGAATCCCATTCCGTTAAACTGACTAGTATTTTATTTACTTTGGTTGTCCTCATCAGACTTTTGCTGCTGTTATAATTATAAAGTATACACACAACAAAACAAATGATTCAGAATATTTTTACTTCATACATTTGTTGTGACATATGTTCGTTTCTGATATGTGAAGATTACTCCATGTCTGAATCTTCTATCACTGCACTGCTCTCTGTCTGGAACCAGGGTAGAGGCACTGGTACGTATGGGTCGTACGTCCATGGAGGATACACTCTCTTGTACAAATTCATCAGCACGGTGTCCTGCGAGCGAAGCTGGCTGTCGAAAACGCACTTCATATGTCCGTGAGTTCCTGTAAACAACACATTTAACTGTCAGTCAGAATATTTGATCCAAAGTTTAACTGTATCGTTTTTATTGTGGGGGTGGGCAACATAAGAGTACAAGTCAGTTTGTACACTTTTTTAAAAATTGTACAGTACTGTCTTCACTCACCTAGAGGTTCTTTTATGTGACCTCTGCGCCCCCACTTCGTACGCAGTTCCACTGGCTTGAACCACATGATGTCATCTGTCATAGGAAAAGATTGAACATGTATCAATGCAACGCTTAAGGCTTTCATAATTTTAAAGGTCTAAGAGGGAAGAATACCACAATTTAAAAGCAAGTTACATTTTCGATCACAGTGTCAATATTCTTAGCTGCTTCTAAGTTGTGCAAAACCTTTGTCAAGCATGGGCTAACGTGCTCAACTGCCCAAACTGGTGAAGTGACACTAAAACGTCTCCTTCAGGATTTCAGACTATCTGAATCTAACATTTTTATAATATGTTATAATATTTTAGAATCCTCGCACCTCTGTTGAAGAACATGTAACGGACAACAGCAGAGCGTCTGTTGATCTTGAACGGGTGTCCACTCAGTACGATCCTCTTCAACACAATTCTCCGGGGGTCACAGCTGAGCAGGCTGCCTGTGGCCACCAGGTCCTGGACTCCTGAAAAGTAAAAAAGAACATAGCTGTTACTCATAACTACTATATAGTGGGAAATAGTGGGAAACAGTCTTTTTCTGTCTTACTTACCATCACTTCTCTGTTTGAAGAGCAGTGCTCCTGCAGGAGAAAACGTGATGGGAGCGTACAGGGACACAACAGTGGGAGTGTCAGGTCTCAGGAATCGCTCCATCTTGTGTTTGTCAGCTGCGAAGTGGAGGAAAAGTGGAGGTCATTGGCAGAATATTTACATGAGTTCCATGTCTCAGAGTTTTTCACCTCTTCAGTCAGATATTAAAGCCTCTGTTGTACCTGAGGTGTGCTGTGAGAAGACAGGAGACGCCCTAAATCGTCGGAATCCACAGTGGAAAATCAACTCATCTTTAGCCTTTATGTGTTCTGTGTTGCTGGGATGTCTTCTCACCAGCACGTGCATAACAGACATCTGGAAACATTGAAAAGGATAGCTGTAGTTTTATTTTGCTTGAAATGGAAAAGGAATTCAAACACAAGGCAAAATTAAAAAAAAAAAAAAGTTTGAGTTTGGTTTTTTTAATTGTAACCAAAGTGTAACGTTGAAACTAGAGATTTTTATTGTTGAACAGACCTGGGTGGCAGGTGTGTAATACTAAATGAATAGGACCAGGATAGAGAAGTTAGATTTATATTCATACCCTTTGTTCATGAGGCAGGAGTGAGACCAACACCAGAGGTTTTCCAGCATGGACACTTTCCATCACAGAAAAAGGCACATCAGCAATGTGCAGAGTCACATAACGGCCAACCTGACAATAAGAACAGCAGCATGGAATAAATACACAGGTCTAGAGATAAATACCTATCAGAAGACAAAGATTTTTTTTACCGTGGCTCCCTCTTCTGTAGCTGCATTCTCAGCTAGAATGCGGCGCCGAGTGCGTTCATAGCTCTGGAACTGGAAGATCCTCGAGTAGTTGAGTGGCAAGTTCTCCATTGGATCCCAGGGTGAGGATCGAAAGCTTTTGAGGCCTCTGAAACGCTGGAACCTAGATGCACAGGAAGTCAGTGTAATATGCATGCAGGTTTATATTTGAAACTTGAAGAAAAACTGTCTAAAGCAAATAACACAAGAGGATAAGAGGGGACCTGTGGGGGGCGTTTCTATTTGACGGTGTTTAAAATGGTAAAAAAAATTGGTAACGATTATTATTTCTAGAATGGTTTATATGGAATTGGTTAACATGTAATGGCCACGAGAACCAGAAAATTTCAAGGTGTCAGTTGAAAAAGCCAAACTCACCTAGTTTTAGCTGGCATGTCAAGGGGCGTGTCCACCTCATCTGGAAACGTTTCATTTGCTCGAGCCTCACGATATCTTTTCAGGCCTTCCTCCTCTGCAGCCTCATCTATGTGTTCATCATAGCGCTGATCTTCTCCTACATGCTCTGTTGGGGACACCTCTACCTCTTCCTCCTCCTCTTCTTCTTCTGAACCGCATGAATCACCGTCCTTAGTAGAGAGATAAATGTTCAGATCTGAATATCTAACTGTTGTAAATCCACTAGTTTTGTTTGCAAACATGGTTACACATGTATAGAAGTAAATTACAGCAGTATATTTATATATATCTACGCAAGTTTTGGGCTAACTAACAGTGTGAAGTCTGTCTACAATTGGTTTGTTAATAACACAAACAAGTATTTGTATGACTCTAAAGAAAAGTTTCAGACATGAAAAAGTTGTATCAAGCAAACCATTCCTACTTTTAGCAAAAGCTGTATGCAAAAGCTGCCACAGCAAACACAAAAATAAACAAAAAACACAATGGTCTGTCTGTTACAGCAGGAACCAGACACACAAGGAAAAACTCTCAGCAGGAGGTTGATTACAACCTTTCTAATGTCTCCACTGCCAAAATAACCATAGTAATAACCATCATTTGAAGTGGTCTTTCCCCTATTGTTAGATTCCTGTGAACAGCTTATGGTTATAAAAATGTAGAATTGTAAAGAACCCACTGCCAGAGGTGAGGTTTTCAATGCAGTATTATACACAAAAAAGGGTCAGACTCTTTTGTCCAGACAGGAAGTTCTTTTTCTCTGGACAGGAAGACATGAGGCTTCTGTCAGGACTGCTGTTCCAAACACTATTGTTGTTCTCAGCAACCTGGCAATACAGAAACAGAGACAGAGCAAACAAATAGCAGCAACGTGCACTGACCAAGGGTCACGTATGCACCAGGTCAGGTTACTGCCCCGATCCCCACATCTCATTAGGAACGTCCCCTGACCTGTAACCAAGAGGGGATTGGAACCCCAGTCTTCCACATGACAAAAGGAGATACTGTCCAGTGCACTTGCACTGGGAGGGAATCGAACCTGGGCCTCCCACTGGCAGAATTCTACCACTTAACAACCAATGCCCCCACAAAGTTTCTCTGACTGGGAAACAAACCCATGACGTGAAGGCGTACCTGAGAGAAATTCTCATCATCTCCATCCATAGCTTCATCCATCATGTCAATATCATCATCATCATCACTGCTGCTTTCCTCATCCAAGTCTTCGTTCTCTCCATCCTCATCAATGATCCACGTGGCCTGGTAGTCAGATGTTCCCTTGGGAACCTTCATTAACCGCTTGTTCTTCCTCAGTTCTGAATGAAAAAAAGTTGAACTTTTTTTTAACGTTTTAGCTATTTTTTTCTTTGATAAATAGCTAAAACGTAGATATAATAGATAAAAACAGAAATTGTCTTTCTTTCTTTTTAAATAGACCATATTTAAACTGCTTGACTGTTTAATCTGATGCATTTTTTGCATCAAATTCAAACACTTTATGCCCAAAATTAGAACATTAAGTCAAAAACACTAGATCTTTGGGGAACTAGACCTAGTATAAACATGTGTAAATAACTTCATTTATAGAATAACTTAATGATTTTCAGGCATATTTAGGGACCTTTGGAAATTTGAGCTAATACCAAAACTGGAGGAAAAGGAAAAGAGTTCAAGCACTTGATTTCAAGGACCTAGATGGGTTACTCTCCAGTTACAACAGACACCTGACTGACAGCATCAGTGAAATGATTATGTTTTGTTTATGCACCCTTAGCTTCCTGGAGTTCTGATTCAGTCGGCCACGTCTGCTCTCCATCCATTGGGTCAACCTCAGCTTCAGTCTGCAGACTCTCCCTGCAGGACAGGTCTGCCTTCATTAGCACTTGCACTGGAGCGTCATCTCCGCCTTCACCCTGGTAAGTATTCAGATGAACAGGATAAATTCATTTCCACTGGTTGCAGTTCCATTGAATTAAGAAAGAAAACCTGATTCACACATGAACACAAAACACACTAAAAATCATTAATCATATATAGCGTACATTGAAATGTACAAATTGCAAAACAAGGTAGGAATAGTTAAATTAAGTTTTTTGCATTTAGTATTGCTAAAAAAAATGTTTTTTTCACAAAACCGGTCTCCGGTCCAGATTTGCCTTCATCAAGATGGTCTGGAATTTGGGTTCAAAGAATCAAACAAAAATAATATTTACCATCATGTCAACATCACCACCTTTGTCAGCCTTCACTTCTCTGGCAGTCGAGTTGAAAGGAAGTGGATCTGATGGGGCATCGATTTGACTGAGCTGAAAGTCTCCATGGCCACTGAGGTGAACCAGTCTGTCAACTTGCAGCGGACGTCCACGGATATAACCAGAGACACACAGCGTACCCAGTCCAGTCCTTCCACCAGTTGTACCCTCAACTGGGCTGTTGGGTGTGAAAGTGACCTGTTGACCCAAAAGATGGGAACGCCTTGAGCGGAAACCAAGCTTCCTCTGTTTCTGAGTGCCCAGGTGTCTTAGAAGGAGAGTGGCGTCCTGCTCCAGGTCTAGAGGAAAGAGGCGGGTATCAGGAAACCGGACCTCTGTGATCTTTGACAGGGCTCTTCTTGACTCTACCTTTTTCTTAACAGGAAGATCCACCACACCCTGACACACCAGAGCTACATGGAATCAATTCAGAAACAATTAAAAATGGGTTAGACCTCTTCCTGTTGAACTGTTGTGGTCTATGATTCAAATAGTTTTATAATAACCATAGCTGGGGAGGCCCTGGGCAAAGAGGCAGGACAGACAGTATTCTCCATAACTGTCCCAGCCTTCATCGGAGTCCAGCAGGAACACAAGACTGTCTGCAACCTTTGCCACATCCAACAGTGAGTGCATGTCGTCTGGAGAAAAAAAAGAAAAAAAAAACTTTTCTGTACAGGTTTTTAATTATTTTTTAATACAGATTCCTTGCCTTGTTATTCCGTTTGCTTAATTAGTTTGTTTATCAATTCTACATTTGACATATTTGCAAGATGACATCACAGTACATGTCAGTACTACTTTTCAAGAAACAGCTAGAATGCCAATGTCATGTAATGCTTACTTGTGCTGTGGCTCAAAAACATGAACCTCTGTTTAAACCGGGGCACAATCAGCCCAAAACTGTCCATGATGCCACTGACACACTTCTCCTGGTGGACGATGCCTCCAGCTGCTTCTCTTAGGAGTTTTGTCACAGCACCAGCATCCACTGCAGCGTGGAGAGGCACCACAGCCACCAGATGAGGAGGACCGTCCCTGCTGCCAAGACGTCTCTTTTCTGTCAGGACCTGAACACACAGAAATGTGCATAGAAGCTATAAGAGTCAAAGATCCATGGACAACAACCTGTAATGTAAATGTAAATCACTACCATGTCTTTCTTGTTCCTGCGTAGCTGACTGGCTTTGTGTCTTCTGTCCATCTTTCGTTGTTCTTTTCTCTGCTTTTTGGTTATGGCAGTTACTGACACCCGCCCTGCGCAGGTAGACCAAAACGTATTTAAGAACACAACTAATATGACAACAGTAACTTTTCAGATCCAGATTGTAGTTAAAGTATTTTAACTTTTCTTTTTTCTTTAAATTTTTCTAATGTAAAATATTGGGAAACACTGCTGTGGTTTCCATGTATATGAAACTGTTATGTCAGCAACGCAATTGGCAACGTTTACTTTGATTGATTATACGTTGTTGAATTCCGTGCACATTAAATCATACACGTAGTTTTATTTAGTGGTAACTGTTTAATCACAGAAAATTCAAACACGTGTTCTACGTAACGATATGCCAATACGCAGACTACTACCAACTGGAAAGTGAATTAAATCCTGTTCAACTCTAACTCGCTTTACCTTTATTTTCCCTCTCGATACCACCTTTCGTTCTATGTTTTCCATGTTTGTGTCCTTTATTTTTCTGCTTATAGATACCGGGTCTGTGGCCCTGTTGTTTATCCCCGTGCGCCACCATTTTACCACGTGAGGTACATAGGCGACGTGTTTCCGCCTTTCACGGCTTCCTGTTAGTGAGCCTTTCAAAATAGAAGCACGGGGAAGAAGAATTAGTCGTCTGTACACCTTAAAAATGCCTGGGTCTTAATTACCTAACAGAAGGACCAGTAGGATGCGGTTTGGTTCGTTGCAGGTGAGCCTCTGAGTTCTACAAATTCAGATTTAACCATTGAATTAAATATTGCTTGTTTTGCCAACTGGCTAAAGACCCATTAATTATTGTCCATGTTCATTTAATCGCACCGCTTTTTACACACGCACACAGGGACATATGTATGTAAGAACTGGCTTTTTGGTTTAAATTTTAAAAATTAAATGTTTATTTTCATGTCTATATTGTGTGGAAAAATCCCACTTAAAAAAACAGCCCAAACATTTTTTTCCGAGCACCCCCTAGTGGCAGCTGACATGCCATACGTTGGGAATCCATACTGTAATTTATAAGAATGTTTTGAAACGAAATTTATAATAAAATATTATAATCTATTTTGTGTTTTTAATATGGCTTAATATGTCTTAAACGGGATGCACTGAGTGCTTGAGGAAGTTCGAACAACAATGAAAGAACACTTGACTTGACTCGTTTAAACTTTTGTCTAAATTTGAGTTGCAGCCAGTGACAATTTGAATAATAGCATGATTGCAAATTATGCAAATTATTTGATATTGCAAATTATGCAATATCAAATTTTTGTACATTACCTGACATACTGTATATACAAGTATTTCATGTTACACTAAGCCACTGCAATGCATAAACTTTGAGGACTAGTTTTGACTAGTGTTTTGATAATATCTGCTAATAATTACCAGTTCGGTTTTATTACTCTGAGAGAATAAAGTGTATACAAATGAGAAATCTTTAAAATCCCTGCTCCACTGATGTACCACGTCGTTTGCCCGTATTTTTGCACTCGAAAGTTTTTTTGTTTTTTTTTAATGACTCTCCGCCTCTGGATATTTTCTGGGTCAGATGGAGTTTAGTGCAACAGGCAACCATTTTTGGACGATTCGAACTTTTACACCCCATATTTTACATCACGACCTATAGAGACAGAGGGAGGCGACGGTTGAAGCGCTGGTGTTCGGCAGCCATCTTTGGAGCTGCTGGGACTGGGAATCACACACTTCCAGGGTGGGGATTTTTCTTTTTAATAACAAATCATCGGGATTTTATCGACTGACAGTGGTAAGAACAACCGGAATTCGGCGCCGGAAAGTACGGGACAGGGAATGAAACGTGGAAAAAGACTTTAATACTTCCACGGTGTGTGCGAATTAAATTATACGGTTTTCACGGAGGAGCTGAAGTCTGGCCTGTCAACAGTAGGTAAGTTTGAGCTAATTGAGCTAAAGCAAACTTGGCAAACATCACACTGTTAGCCACTTAGCTTATCCACACCGTTCTTCAAACACGGTTCTAAATACGCGTTATTTCCACAATTTTTTTGAAATGATTGAGATGTATGTGTAATGCATAAGCTGCAGTGCTGGTTTAAGTTATTTCATCACATGACACGTAACCGCTAGTGTTAATTTTAAGTTCTATTTCAGCAATCTTAAAATATGTCCGTGTGAGTACGAGTCACTTTTCCGAGTTTAATTTACATATTATACATAAACAAACCAAAAACATACACCACAGTTTCAAACAAATAAAATAATGTTGTGCAAGAAGTTAGACGCCATATACTACGGGGTTGGGCTGGGTTATGTCGCCAAAAGGAGTTTAACTAAAACTTTTTTATGTACAGAATCTAGGAAAGAAAACATTGTGTAGAAAATAAATTATCCAAACTTTAACTTCATGTTCAAAAAAAATTATATAAATTAAGTAATTAAAGAACATTTCCTAATAATTAGAACGTGCAGTGTTCACCAAGACAGTGAAAAGCCTAAAACCAGTAATGAGTGAATAGTTATGATTTCTAATTGGTTTTTGTTTTATTCTATACATAAATTGCAAATATAAATGTATATTTACAATGCAAATAATCAAAGCACTTAATGATTTGTAAATTGGTTTTTAAAAGTTTTTAAAGAGAGAAAATCCCCAAATATTGTCACTTTCAATAGCAACTGTAGTATAGTAAATGTAGTCAAGTTTATGGTTTTATGATATGGTAGCATATTTGGGACCTTGTTTTTTAGATTAGTTGAATTTAACCTTATTCTGCTAACACTGTAACATGGAATGGGACAATGTTCGTGAAATGACACAGTGGGCTGTCAACATTTCCAGGGGTGTTGTAAGTGCGTCAAGGCATTACTAAGGTTTCCCGGATAGTTGAGGATTTTGCTGCTTGTATAATGTTGTCAAAGTCATGCATTGCCTGAATTAAGAGTTATAGGTTCTCAAGAAGAAGAAAAAAAAGAAAATATACACAGTATTATCTTGACATGAACTGCAAGCTGACATTATGAAACAATTGACCAATCAATCAATAATTTTAACTATTTATTGACATCTATTGATGGATTTTATATGTGCATTTTAACAATGTAGCTAGACAAGGACAATATTTAATAATAAGTGTTGTGGTATAGAATGAATATGAATGTGTATGGAGGAGTAAAACAGGCCCAGTGAAAAATATTAGCATTAGAATTTCAGGTTTTACTTACTGCCCTTTTAAAATCACAGTGTAGATCACAACTAAATGTGTACATGTAATATGCATATATACAGTATTTCTGTTTAACTTTTTAAACCCAGCAAGAGACCAGAGTGGTATTCAAATATTAGTATAGGATATTCTGGCATTAAAAAATCCTTCTAGTTGTCTCTTATTACATACTGCACTTATTTTGTATAAGTTCCTACTGTGACTCTGTTAAATAGGTATTGAACTTTTTTTCTTCATTATTTTTAAAAATAATATCACCAATAATATCGTTTTAAATAGATAGATAGACAGACAGACCAACAGAACTAACCCTTTGGGAAATTAGGGATTATTACATTATTGCAAGAAATTAAAAATGAAAAACCCAAACATTCCCTTTCATTCAACTCTGGAGGTCATTTTCATTAATTTTATAAAACATGTTGATGGGGCAATTTGATCAAACAGGTGTAAATTTTATGCATGGCTGATATGTGTGACTATTTGGGCATGATCATGCCCTTAAAAGGTCAATCAAACTGAAGGAATACTTCCTAATAACCTTATAAGTCTTAAGGTTGTTAATATTAACTGTAAAACCAATACAGTCACATTAGTATCCTCTCACAGCTGAGTGCTTGGGCTCCTAATAGAACACATGCCTGAAAGCATGCCAATACTTTTAAGTGGGACACATAATTACCAGTCAGTGCTCCATCAGGGCCCAGTCCTACCTAGTGCTGTGGAACAGGAAATAGTTTGAAAATGCAGAGCATTGAGGGGCTACATTGGGAATTCCAGGCCTCTAGCTATGCTGTCCTGTCCTGCTGCATTCTTGTTGTGTCCTAACTCATGAGATGTTTTTTTTCAAGGGTATATCAGTTATCCCTATCACTTACTCTAGTGTTTACTTCAGTGGTGAAAATACTATCATGAGTCAAAGAGATAACGCTCATTCCAAAGAAGTGACTCTTTGATCAATAATCGCAATGAGGCACAGTCCCACACAGCAGTGAGACTTAAGTTATGAATCCACAGTAGCATCTATGTCGTGCAGTGACCCCTTTACCAGCACCGTTGGTGGTGTACTGAAAACAATGTCTTCTAAACCCGTTCGCTGTTTAGTAGTAGGGGGCTAGCGTTTTATGCTGCATTCACACCAAATGTGTTAGATGCAAAAAACACCATGAAACACCTGCATTGCACTGCTTCATCATTTTTGGATCATCGTCTCATATCTGCTTGATGCACTAGACGCTTAGAACAAAAAACAGTGATCAACATAATAAAACAAGCCACAGATAGTCCCACCTAGTGGCTAACTTTGGCCCATGGTGCCTTTTTTTTATTCCAGTCCCGATAAAATGTAGCAGCAGTGTGCCCAAACATGGCAATGATAAGCTTTTTCTCCATTGTTCCAAGTGGCATTGGGATAAAACTGTCACTGATTGGACATTACAGCACGAAGCTGCCTGAAAAGTTCATTTTTTCCAATTTCTTTCACATCACATAAAACACTCCAGACGCTCCATTCGGGTTGGGACAGATTTCTGTTGAGGTGACTGAGGCAGATGGGCCTTGAAAAAATGACCGAAACAGTTTGAGAACCACTTGGTTAATAGTTGCCTTAGTGCCAGTTTATTTTTCATTGTGATGTAATGTTCTGTAATGTCCACCATTTTGTTCACTGCTTGGCCTATCAGTTAAGTGAGCGAGTAAGACAGCAGGGAGTCTGAGTTTCAGGAGCAGTGTGAGCAGAGGCTGTGACAGCAGCTCTGTTAGGAGTTTTGTCCTTTTATTTGTGTTAATAAAATCTAGGCTAAGTGAGATTGTACATATTTGCTTTCACTTACCCAAACATAAAATCACTGTTTTGCAGATGAACCACAAGTGGGAGCTCCCAAGTCGCTGTCGCAGTCCCAGATAGTTGCTGGCGACGGCGACATCGCCCCTAATCCCACACTATGCCAAACAGCAACAGGGCCGGGAACCTGAAGGACCCCGACATTGCTGAACTGTTCTTCAAAGAGGACCCAGAAAAGTTCTTCACAGATCTTCGAGAGATTGGCCATGGGAGCTTTGGTGCTGTGTACTATGTGAGTGTTAAAAAAGAAATGTGAAAATTGTGGTTTTTCTTTTACATAGTTGTTGTACAGAACATTCACACATTATAAACACTGGCTTTCTGAGACACATTACCATCCGTAAAGACCTACCTAGTGTTAGTTACATTCTATCCTCTCTAGACAGTTCAAATGGGTTTTAAATAATAAATAACTTCTTATTTTGTTTTCATTTGTATTTTACACCTAACAAGCATCTTCATAAATAGTCCGCCCAGGGAAACTACACTCACTCACTGATTATTTTCTTCTCTGTTTTCTTTCCCTTCGTTTTCTTACTTCAAAAACATCAGTCATACAGTCGTGACATATAGTCGAGTCTCAAAGAAAAACAGTGTAACACACCAACAGGGTTCTGCTTACTCATTACAGCCCCCAGTTCCAAAAAATATGACACACCCACTGTCAAGTGACAATTGTGTCTGTGTACCACAAACTTGTCTGGATTTGTTGTTGCATAATCCAGTTTTTCCTAATATTCTAGGTCGTCTGAGTAACAACCCTTTGGCAGTTATGTAAATCAGTAGATTATGTTGTTATGATGGCTGTAGATACAATGTACATGTATAATCAGACTCTTGGATTTCAGGCACAAGATGCGCGGACAGGTGAGGTGGTGGCCATCAAGAAGATGTCGTACAGTGGAAAGCAGTCCACTGAGGTAAGATACAGGAGCTTTTGTTAAACTAAAATTGACATCATTACTCTTTTAACTCACTTTTCCTTTTGTTATACTCATCTTTAATCTTATTGCATTAACAGAAGTGGCAAGACATAATCAAGGAGGTCAAATTCCTGCAGAAGATACAACATCCTAACAGTATAGAGTATAAAGGATGTTACTTAAGAGAGCACACAGCCTGGGTAAAGATGAGCATGAATGTCAGGGATAATTTTGATTTTGAATATAAAGTGGAAAAACCAACAAAAACAAAAATTTCATTTATTGCAGCTCGTGATGGAGTACTGTCTGGGCTCTGCTTCAGATTTGTTAGAAGGTAAGTTTTATACTTGTACCTCCACTTATTAGGATGCAGGGTGTCTTGATTACATTCTGATGAATCCATGTAATATTTTTACTATTGCTCTCTGTTATTGTTCTCTTCTAGTTCACAAGAAACCCCTGCAAGAAGTTGAAATAGCTGCAATTACCCATGGTGCACTTCGAGGGTTAGCGTATCTGCATTCTCACAATATGATTCATAGGTCAGTGCCCAGGAGACACTTTCAGTTTCTAAATTAATTATTACAGGTTGTAACAGTACATGTATTCATACTAAACATTTAATATCAATACACAAGAGTACCCTGATAAAACTCCACAGTCATGACTAGGCATGCAACCTCTTGCCTGTGAGTGTTACTTTTTCTCCACAACTGTTTAAGAAACATTATGGTATTTTCTTTTTTAACTTTGTCTCTTATATACTGTCAATAATGTAAAGCCCATTGATTTTGGTGCTCTGTCTTTTATGTAAAGCGGTCGTTTCTTTTACTTTTGACAGAGACATTAAAGCAGGAAACATCTTGCTGACAGAACCAGGCCAGATAAAACTTGCTGATTTTGGTTCAGCCTCCATTGCCTGTCCTGCCAACTCCTTTGTAGGGACTCCATATTGGTAAGTGACTCACACTTGTAACTAGGATGTAGGTGTTAGAAGTAGCTTTTTAATGCTTTGACATAATTTCAGATTTTCTTAGCGGCATATGCATGTTTATTTTGCATAGGATGGCCCCAGAAGTGATATTAGCCATGGATGAAGGTCAGTATGATGGAAAAGTGGACATTTGGTCTTTGGGAATCACCTGCATCGAATTAGGTAGGTTGCTACTAATTCCCTTACGTAGAAAGACCATCAGTTTTTGTTTGTATAAACAGTGTCACTGTTGAAAATGTACTTTTTTATTTTATATTTTCTACATTTGCCTCTTTGATGTAACCTGTTTTTTGATTTTCAGCTGAAAGAAAGCCACCACTTTTCAACATGAATGCAATGAGTGCCTTATATCATATAGCACAGAATGAGAGCCCTGTTCTACAGTCAAATGAATGGTAAGCTTAAAGTTACAATTTCAGTATAGAGTTAGAAGGTCTTTTGTCAACAATTACTAAAAATGCATATGAGCTATAAAAGAACTCAGATCATCATTTTCAAATGGCCTATTAACCAGACTTACTAAAAATGCATATGACCTATAAAAGAACTCAGATCGTCATTTTCAAATGGCCTATTAACCAGACTAGGTTTTACCTGATCAAAGAATCAGAAACAGTTTGGTCAGGAGGAACTGCTGTGTGCTACAGCACATCCTGAGTAAACTTAAACACATACTTACAGATGGGTACATAGACAGTCAGTCTTAGGATTCTAAATGTTTTTTGTGTGGGTGGAAAAGCAAACTTCAGAACTGAGAAAGTGCTGGGATGAACCCTCTTTTGACCCACAACCAAAATCACTTGCTTGCATAAACAATGTTGTAAAAATTTCAAATGGTTGTTGTAACTTGTTGAAAGTGACAATTATCCTATCATTAACCATTTAAATTTAAATTGTGCATTTCTTTTGAACTCTAACATACTAATTGTCTTTTCTTACTTTTTACATTTGAATTGTAGGACAGATTATTTCCGGAACTTTGTAGATTCTTGTCTTCAGAAAATTCCTCAGGATAGACCAAACTCAGAAGAGCTACTAAAGGTACAAAAGAGAAATTATTATGACAATCTATTTATAGTGTTGTGGTTTGCAGTTTAGTCTTAAAGAAATGATGATTTCAATGCTGAAGGTGTTTCTGTTGTCCTCCTTTTCTAGCATGCCTTTGTCCAGCGTGAACGACCAGAATCAGTTTTAATAGACCTGATAAGTCGGACTAAAGATGCCGTGCGGGAGCTGGACAATCTTCAGTATCGCAAAATGAAGAAGATCTTGTTCCAAGAAACCCATAATGGCATTGCAGCTGAGGCACAAGAGGAAGAAGAGGTTTGTGTCTCATGTGCTGTATTTTTCACTGTGTTCTAAGAATTTTGCATTATTAGGTGTAATAGTATGGAACAGTAGCCTAATGTTGCATTAGACTTTCGCAAAATGGCAGAGGCATGAAAAGGATTTGATATTTGGCGTAGACAGGTCTTTAAGCTTTTACTGTGATCACCATGGTGTTTACTGTTACATAAAGCGTTGTTGTCACATGTTGTGACCTCTTTTAATAACAACAGTTTGTGGTATTTTTCAGGAGCCAGAACACAATGTGGGTAGGACGGGTACAGTAAACAGTGTAGGAAGCAACCAGTCCATTCCGAGCATGTCAATCAGTGCCAGTTCACAGAGCAGCTCCGTCAACAGTCTGACAGATGCAGGCGACGATAAGAGTGAGTTTGGCATAGAGGGAGACCACACAGTCATGTCCAGCACTTCGGTCATACATCTTAAACCAGTAAGTTCTTTTGCATCTCTCTCTGAATCTATGTCTCATACTGTGTAGTGGAGTCCCTTCATGAAATAAGTTTTTTCTTTAAATCTGTTCACTCCTTTAGAATGAAGATGCTTATAACCAAGAGGCAGAACCTCATGCCAGACAAACTGAACCACAGTCACCACCTGCCCACACTTCACAGCCAAGACGGAACCGGGAACACTTTGCAACTATTCGCACAGCCTCTGTGGTAATGGCACAGTTTTTACAAATTAAATGTGGAAATGGCATTTTATGCTAATCAAGCTTGAATGTGTTCTCTAAAATCACTTCCATCTCTCTATTGTAGAATAGAACAGACTTCAATTAAGATAAGGACATTAATGTACTTCCATTACAAAGAAAACAGACCATGTGCTCTACTGAGTTCATAAATATAAAATAATTCTTACAATGACTAGATATAAATATCAATAAGACAAAACTACACTTTTAGCATCAAAGTTAATAGGATTAGCTAATGTAAGATTTAAAAGAAAATCTGTATAGTGCTATACCAACGTTTTTCATCACCACAGCAGCCACGGAGCAAGTGTCTGGCAACACAATTAAGTTGGAATATGTGTCATATGTTTTCCAGCTGACTCGACAAATAAAGGAGCATGAGCAGGATTCAGAATTAAGAGAACAAATACTCGGCTACAAGCGCATGCGACGGCAGCACCAGAAACACCTGATGGCTCTGGAAAACAAGCTGAAGGCCGAGATGGACGAGCACAGACTTCGTCTGGACAAGGAGTTGGAAAACCAAAGGAACAGCTTTGCCCAGGAAATGGATAAGCTGATCAGAAAGCACCAGGCATCAATGGAGAAAGATGTACTGTTCATCTAATGAATACTTTCCTACAGCATATTGTATCTCTAACTTGTAAGCCAACTGATCTGTTCTGTGTTTTTGTTTTTGTTTTTTTTGCTTAGGCAAAAACCTTTAATCAGGATGAAAAGAAGTTCCAGCAGCATATCTTGAGTCAGCAGAAGAAGGAACTTCATAGCTTTTTAGAATCCCAGAAACGAGAGTACAAGCTACGGAAAGAACAACTGAAAGAGGTTGAAAGATCCATTTGTATTATTGCCTTGTAGATATTTCCAGTGTACACTACATCTTTTAATTATGTGATACAATTGCATTCAGTGATCAACAGTACTTTTTTTTCTTTTTCTGTAGGAACTAAATGAAAATCAATCAACACCCAAGAAAGAAAAACAGGAGTGGTTGTCTAAGCAGAAAGAAAACTTCCAGCACTTCCAGGCTGAGGAGGAGGCCAACCTTCAACGCCGACAAAGACAGTACTTGGAATTGGAGTGCCGCAGGTTTAAGCGTAGGATACTGATCGCTCGCCACAATGTGGAGCAGGACTTAGTGCGAGAGGTCAGTACTGTTTACTAACTACTAACGTACTAACTACCAACTCTGTGCTAGAATAATATTTTTAGAATATGTTTGAACATGTGAGCTTGACTGAATTGGTTACAAATGAGACGTTTTTGTAGTCAAACTAACAAATGTTATGGTATCATTTTAGAGTAAAGGTGCAGTTAGTGTTTTTTTTTCTCAAACAACTTAGGAGCTAAACAGACGTCAGACACAAAGAGACTTGGAACATGCCATGCTCCTTCGGCACCATGAGTCCATGCAGGAGCTAGAGTGTCGTCAGCTCAACACAGTCCAAAAGACGAGAGCTGAGCTGATCAAACTGCAGCACCAAACAGAGCTCATTAACCAGCAGGAGTACAACAAAAGGAGAGAAAGGGAACTGAGACGCAAACATGTGATGGAGGTTCGCCAGCAGCCCAAAAGCCTTAAGGTTAGGAAAAACACATGAGAGTGGGGGAGAAAAAAGCAATTTCCACTTTAATTACAGCTGTTGATTTCTGCTTTGAGCTGTTTTAGAATCTATTTCATAATTCATTTAAAACTTACGTTTTTTTTGTCATATCAAAGATCATATGTGTTTGTCAAGCAATATTTTTAGTTTAAAGATTAGCAATATTTTTTGGTGGTGTTTGTGATGATGAACACAAATTATTTTTTGTTCTCTACATTACAGTCCAAAGAGCTTCAGATCAAAAAACAGTTCCAGGACACGTGTAAGATCCAGACCAGGCAATATAAAGCGCTGAGGAACCATCTGTTGGAGACCACACCAAAATCAGAGCACAAGGCTGTCCTCAAACGGCTACAGCTTGAGCAGCACCGCAAACTGGCCATCTTGGCAGAGCAGTACGACCACTCCATCAATGAGATGCTCTCTACACAGGCAGTATGTATTACAATGTAGCAAGCTACTGCTGTAACATTAAAATGTTATTTTGACAGCAGACCTAAAACTGAGAATAAAGATAAAGAGTCACCATGGTGGCATTGCATTATATATTTTTGCCCTTGTTTATGTTAAATGTGTGTGTCACTGTTTGCAGCTCCGTTTGGATGAGACTCAGGAGTCTCAGTGCCAAGGCCTTCGAATGCAGCTACAGCAAGAGTTGGAGCTTCTCAACGCCTACCAGAGCAAGATCAAGATGCAGACAGATGCTCAGCATGATCGTGAGAAAAAAGGCCTAGAGCAGAGGGTGTCACTTAGAAGGGCCCTGCTGGAACAGAAGGTAACTAGATGTTCTTTTTTATAGAGGCTAGGGAGTGGGTACATTTGGTAATATTACATATAATTGTATATTATTATTTATTGTTTATATATTGTTTAAACATCCTTGGCAGGGCGTGGTGAAGAGCATTTTGTGTCATTCTGTTTTATTGGGTTTTTTCTTCATTACGGATTGAGCCATCAGTAATATAAATGTAAATATTAGTCAAAATATTGTCCTATATTGGTCAGTTGAAAAAACAACTGTAGCCCATATGATCTGGAACCTAAGCTCAAATGTTCAACTTAACTTTACGCAACAGCAATGGCAATTACTTGATTTATTTTGCTTACAGATTGAGGAAGAGATGGTCTCCCTGCAGAACGAACGCTTGGAACGAATACGAAGCCTCTTGGAACGCCAGGCCAGAGAAGTTGAAGCTTTTGACTCAGAGAGTATGCGTCTGGGTTTTAGTAATATGGTGCTCTCAAACATATCCCCTGAGGCTCTCAGAGGGTATGATAGTTTTCCTGGACCTTTAGAGAATTGGAGTCATCATCATCATCACCACCAACATCATCAGCAGCAGCAGCCGCCGCCACAGCAGCAGTCCCAATACCGCTCATCTGGAGTTTTCCAAAGACCGCAGCGTGTCAGTGGCAGTCCGGGTGGGGCTGTGCAGCAGGTCTGGGCACCAGGCATGGAAGCAGGTGGGGGTCCATTGCTTTGGGGGCAGTCTTCTGCAGGAGGCCTGATGTCCCGCAGTGGTGTAGGTGCACAGAACAGCCCCCAGGTAATTGGAAGGACACAATCAGGAGGTCGCAGTGAACAGAACATGACCAGGAGTACCAGTGTCACATCGCAAATATCTAATGGGTCGCACATCTCCTACACGTAGATCCACTGCCCACTGTGGGCTGTGAAGGTTTCAAGTGTGGAGATGTGGAATCCATCAAACATGTTAGGAAAAGAGTTTTAGTGAAGCTCTGCTGCTTTTCTCTGTCTTTTCCTGGGGCTGTTCATTGTAATGTGTACAGTCACAAATGTGTGTATATTGCTCAGGTCATATGGGTTGTAAAAGACAAAGCCTACCTACACAACAGGCAATTAGCACACACAATAGACTCTTAATGTAACCTGTTTCTATTCTACCATCTGGGAGCAGGACAATGAGACTCACTGAAAATATGGCTACTGACAGGCACAGTAAGGAGAACAGATTCTAACCATAAACCGTGAAATCCACATCTGGCCAAGTTGAGACTCCTCCTCCAAAGTTCATAGGGAGAAATATCAATATGAGCTTCCACAGACACAGTAGCTTCTGCTTTGTTTAGTCTGTGGTGCTTGAGAAAACGTTGAGCCAACGGCGTCAAACATCACAAGTCACAAGATAAAACCTTATCCCCGGTGTACTCAGGGTTACTTTGATGGGGTGAAGCCATTAGAAAAATGCATTACAGCTTTGAAATGGTTCGTTATTCCCTAAAGCCATGTTTATGTCCTAGCAAGAACTAAGAGCTGGAAATGACACAGGTGGGAATCCTGTCTGCCATGCAGTTGCTCCTGGGTTTAAATCCATCTGCCATTAAAACTCCTCACCTCCAAGCCTGTGCCCAATACTGCTGTGGCAGCCCCTTATAAGGGACAAGCTAAAAGTCTTTCAGATGTTGAAAAAAAAAATAATAATAATAATAATAACACTACATGCAACTCCTGTTTTAGAGTTGGTACAGTTAAGTATTCTAAATTTATATTTACATTGATATTTGTGATTCACAGAAGTTACAAAGAGATGTGATAAAAGTACGTTTCCTGAAAAGAAAATCAATTAAGAAGAAAGATGGCGGTTGTCTTTCATCAGCCTGTTTTATTTGGAGACTCTATCCATCCAAAATCTGTGAATCAAAAAATCGACT